CCTTACACCTCAGACATCCTGATTTGTTTCCAACTCTGACAGCACTTCACCTATCTCCCTGTTCTGTACGGCATTTCACTCTTTCTAAGCGGGTTAGTGTGGTGCAAGTGTGGTTTCTTTTCTCAATAATCTTGCTGTTTAACTTCAGTTTGTCCTTATTAAGGATCAACTCAACATATTTGGCTGAGATAATTGGGTATTGATTATTTTTGCTCTGTCATTTGCAGTTCAAATTGGATCCTTATGAACACTTGAGACTTTTCTCAGTGACTGTTTGTATGCTTAATATGCATGCTTTCAGCACAGCCCTGGTCTGAGGTTTGGCCCACTGTGTTTCAGGCTCAACTTTCCTTAAAGAATCCCAGCAGCTCACTGATACAATAAAGCATTTTCCGCTGCTTCTTCAACTCTTTCCTCCTTTTTCTTGAGTTCAAAGCCAAATGAGGGATTCTGGAACTCTGGGGATGTGACTTGATTTCAGCACTTTGTGAGAATGGATGGTCACAACATGCTGCCCTTTAATTTTTCTCCTTGTCTGGGCAAGACATAACAGATCACTATTATTGTTCAAACAATCATTAAGCAATCTTATGCTTCCTTTTTTTTTAATATGGATGCTTAGGTTCATTTTTAATGCCTTTTAAAATTTTATTCTAGTTTTTATTTCTGTTGAGTTTTAAGATCTACATAAGCAAAGGTTTTATATATATGTATATATATGTGTGTGTGTATATATATATATAGAAAAAAAAAAAAATATATATATATATATATATATTCTTTTTTTTCACCAGTTATGTGCTTGGTAGGGGCTTCCACACATGCTATGCTGTCTAATGCTGTAGTCATAGTGCTTGTTGAAAATTGAAATAAATTGAGATTCAGTAAAACTGTAAAATCTCTGAGGTTCAGTTTCTTAGTCATTCTAACCACATTTCACATGTCCAGTAGTTGCATATGGCTAGCACGGGTATTGAACAGCACAGATACTAAACATTTCATCATCACAGAAAACTCTGTTGCCTGTCCTACATAATAGTTAATAGCTCTAGAGTCAGATAGATTGGATTTAAATCCTGAGTTGTACACACTCCCTATATGATCCCAAGCAAATCACTTACCATCTCTGAGACTTGGATTAATTAGAGATAAAACAATGATGACATAGAAAATCATGGGCTGGGGTTGTGGCTCAGCGATAGAGTGCTTGCCTCGCATGTGTGAGGCCCTGGGTTCGATCCTTGGCACCACATAAAAATAAATAAATAAATAAAATAAAAGGCATTGTGTCCAAATACAACTAAAAAATAAATATTTGAAAAAAAAAGAAAATGTATTACATAAAGAACCTAACATGGAATGAAAGGTGTTTTGTAAAACTTCTTCCTAATAGTTTTATTCTCTTAACCCCACTCCCTCATCCTCCATTGAATTAGTCATTCCCTATTTTCCTCTTTCATCTAGTATAAATCCCTTTCAAACAGATCTTTATTCACCAGCCATGATCCCATCCCAATCCACCATTCCAGATCAATCCTAACTTGCTTTCTGATCTGTCTGAATCTGTTAATCATTTTATTATTGATATTATCAGCCTTGTAAATGAACAGTCTCCAGGTTTCTCTGGTTGACCACCAGGCAACCTGTCAAGGCTTTGATTGTATCTTTTTCATTCCTCCTTTCATTTTTTATATGCCTGTTCTAACTGCAGACCCTCTCCATGCTCTTACTCCAACTCTGTATCAGTGGAGAATTATCATCTCAGTGAATCTGTTGAACTTGCCTTCTCTACATATCTAAGTGTGTATTTTCTATTTTCAAGGTATCCTAAATGCCAGTGTCTGGACAAGTATAAGACCAGATATGTATTAAATATTAATGTGCTTAAGAATTTTATATAATGAAATATACATTACAAAGTAGAATCTAAAGAATTCAGTCTCCTAATGAAACTATAATATATACCCATGGATTCATGGAAATAATGGAATAAAAAGCAGTTAGAAAATAAAAATCAGAAAAGATAGGTTAAGTCTTAGTTGAGCTTCTCACAACCTGTGTGTGGCAATGAGTGTCACTGAGCATTTCTGAGCTTTATTTTCTCTATCTTTAAGAATACTGTTCAAAGTATTAAATGAAATAAATTGTAAATGTTAACATATTATAAATATTTTCATTTTTCTTATGAAGGTGAGATGTCACTATAAATTTTGAAATATTTTCTAAAATTTTTGAGAATGATAGGATATGTAGCACTTTAGTTAATCTATAGAAATAAAAGCCCACTTTTTGTCCAGCTAAATATTTTTATCAGTAATCCCTTAAGTCTTACAGATAAAAATGAAACACACTGTTTTAATTTTTTCATCTCTGAAAACTGGCAATTCATACACATGGATGTTTCATGTTTCTGTACAATACCTAGAACATTTGTTAGTTTTTTTTTTCTTAACACACTGGACATGTAAAATGTTACTACATGATTTCATAATTACTTTTGTTGATTCTGACTAATCACAGCTACATGAACTCTTGTATTGTGACTGCCACAATGCAAAGCATTTTACTTGTGCAAATACATCTACTCCTCACACCTACAAGGCTGATAAAGTTATCCTCAATTTACTGATGAGAAAATGAAAGCACAAAGTATGTAAGTTTTCTTAAAATCATCCTTTAAGAGGCAGAATGGGAGTTGAGCCTGGGGATTCCAGAGCTAAGCTCTTTACATTTCCTCCATGCTACATTGCTAACCTGGCATAATCTCCAGGATATCCACTCGTGGGTGTTCCCAGCAGGCCTCCTCTGGGCACTGATCCCTGGGAGTCTGAGTTGGGGATTTTGGATGTTAACAGGAACCATGTAGGTGAAAATCTCCCAGTCTTTGGGAATACTTTCTAATCTCAATCATAGCTACATGGAAATAAAATCAGTTTTGTTTTCACATATTCGATAGTCAGAGATATAAAATAAAAAATAATAGCCTTATCAAGAGAATGGTGTACATATATTTCCAAATAGATAAGTTGTCTCTCCCTATCAGAGTATAATCATGGCAAATAAATTCATATTTAAAATTACACCACAATTTTATGTAGACATTTTCATGTGCAGGTTACGTATGATATATTTTACAATCTTGAGGTTGGAAATACTAGTGAATAATTACAAGTTCGCTTAAATTGTTATTAGATCATCATGGAAATTCATGCATTTGCTGAAACATATAATCAGAATTGTTCACTGAATTAATTCAAGAGTCAGAAACTAGAAAATTTGAGATAATTTAATTGGCATAACTAATCTTCATGATGAAACTGCAGAGGAGATAAGTAGATATATCCATACTTACATACACACATATATACATATATGTGTACATATGTACATACATACATACATAAGGAATTTGTGTCTTTAAGTTCTCACTTGGTTTCCTATCATTGTATTATCCTAATCTCAAGAGAAATAACTCTTTTTCTCACTTGAAATGAGCTTCAAGGGAAACTAATATTCAAGGTATTATATATTACAGTTTCTTATACTTTACACAGTCATAGGCATATTAGCATGCACAAACACAGCAGCATCTACATATGAGTGGATTGATTTCATTTCTTTTATTTGGAAGAGTGTTTTTTAGTGCCAATTATAGCTTCCCCAAAATATAGTGTTATGCTATGATTCTAGTACAAAAGGCTATTTCATATTTCACACTATTTTAAATATCGCTTTTATATTATCATCATTTCCTAATTTCCACTCTGAACATCAGAAGCAAAGTCTTCTGTACAAGTAGCCCTAGGAGACCCTCTATCATAATATGCATAATAACCATACTGTTTGCAATGGCATACATTCTTTGAAACAGGATAGTTATCAAAAACACATGTTATCCCTGATTTAGAATAATTACATAGATATTAAGAAGCCATACTTATATTTTCACAATGTAAATAAATACCTTGAGAATTTTTTATGAATGTTCAAATCCTGAGTATAGAGGTATTTTATGTTTTAGAAATTAATAGAGGGCACATTAAAGGTGCAAAACTATAAACTTTATTGAAAACAGAAAGTGCTAACCACAAAGTGTGTGCTCTTAAAGATGCTCACCACAGTTGCATTCAATAAATTTGTCCTTTTTGATCCTAAGCACCATGCTAAGAACTGAGAAGTACAGTTTATCCATTTTTCATCTTTAAGAAGTCACAATTATTATAATTAGAAATATCTTCAGTTTCATTTATTAGCATGAAAAGAAAGCAACAATTCTTCTCTTGAAAATTGGTATTTGAAAAGTCAGTGAAATATATGTTCTTTCTAAAGGATAACTTATAAATATGTTTACTTCAACTATTTACTTGTTTGTTAATAGGTTATCTTAGGTTGGGTTGGGCTGCTATAACAAATTTTCATAGATTTTGTGGCATAAATAATAGACCTGTTTTTACTGGCAGTTTTGAGTCTGGGAATGTCATAATTAAAGAGTTTGTAGTCATAATTTCTTTGAAAGTTCTCATTTAGGCTGGCAGATGATGGCATCCTTCTTGCTGTGTCTTCCTGTGGTGGAGATAGCTTATGCCCTAGTTTTTCTCTCTTATCTTATGTGGACCTAATCCCATCATGAGCAGTCACCCTCATGACCTCCTCTAATCTGATTACCTTTCAAAAGGCACACCTCCAAATACCATCACACTGGGAGTTGGGGCTTCAATAAATCCACAAACATTCTGTCCATAACAGTCTCTAATTGGAGAACATGCATGAGTTTTGTCCACATGGTGTTTTAAATTTTTTTTTTAATTGAAATACCTGGAAAACTCAGGCACTCTCCATTAGTTCCTCTCATTTCGTACCATCATACTATTTGTCAGATACTCTTAGTGGTGTTATCAGGTTTCTGTAAGTACTTGAATTTGTGACTGTTTATACCATTTAAATTGCCAGGATTTATCTAGATTTTGCCATTAAAATACATCTTGAATTTTCTTTTACAGGATGGAGAATCTAATAAGGGGAAGAAATCCCCCACAATATCAGAGAAGTCCTTGTAAAGAGGTTCGTGCAGCACTTCGGAAGAGGCCTGAAGAGGAGTGTAAGTATGTTTAATAGGATTAACTGTGTTCTAGATAGATCTTGGTGAGTAGAACAGTGAAATTAAAGGTTTACCTTTAAATGTTTAGACAAGTAGGAGAGGTATTCAATAAATATTTGTTGAATGGAGCTGATTTTTAAAAACAAATGGCCACGTCCTACCTGAACACAAGCATTGAGATCTTTTTTTTTTTTTTTTTCCTGAATATGTCTCTGTACTTTAAGATGCTCTACTGATCTTTGGATTCCCTGTTCAGATGAAAGTGGAAAAGGCTGCACAATCTACCAAATCTTTCTTAGACACACATATCATGCATATTAATGGTTTTTAGGAACTTAGAAATAAGGAAACTCTTAGAATGTGCTTAAAATAAACATTTTCCAGTGTCCATTTGACCACAGTTTTTTAAAACTGAAAACTCTGAAAACCACTGTATTACTAAAGAATAAATATCCAAGGGTAAACATGAATCCCTCTGTCAAATGGAAACATTTGATTTAATCAAATTTAAGAAAAAATCTTTAAAAGACACTATAAAGTCATTTTTGTTCATCCTTAATTTATTAAATATTAGAATATGTAATTGTAAAGATTTTACTTAAATATGTATAGTCTGTATAGTAGATTGTTAGAGATTTTAAACATAATATTCACATTTTAAGTTTGTAAAAGATTTGCAACACTGACTTTCCTCATGATGTCTGTGTATAATTATTTTCAGGGAACTTAACCACATTCTTTTTATGACAAAAAAATTATCTGCACTTTGCCTTAATACAGGAACTTGAATTTCTTAAGGATAATGATGATTTAGTAGGTTCACTGAAGTATACAGTATAATAGACTTTTAAGATTACACTGGGATTTTAAATTAGTTTAAAGTACACTACTCTGGGCAAAGACCGAATATATTAAAGTTGAGCATACACTTCACAAGTATGTATTTTTTTGTTTGTTTTGTTTTATTAGAAAGTCAATAAATAACCTTATTGAGATTAAATCTATGTAATTCAATGTAGCATTGATCTTCTTTTAATTTGCAGATTTATATCTTTTACACTATACATGATATCCAATTAAAATTAAAATATGAAAGTGAGGTTAGAGTTTGTGGCATTTGTAACATGAAAATTCTTGCACAAAAGTATTACTTCTTTTTATTGGAGGTATTCAATAAGCAAATGCCATAATCATAGGGAAACTTTGGAGTATCTTCTTAGTCCCTGGTATAGTTCTACAAATTTCATTTTAAAAACTTAGAAGGAATTTTTGTGGATATCTCAAAAATTCTCATTGTGTTGATTCTCATAGTGTTGTTATTTAAAATGAACATAGTGATGTTTCAGGGATCTTATAGTAAGTTATGGAGGCAAATAGTTGGCCAACTGTGGGTTTTCATGAAGTCCAACATGATATCAATTTCTGTAAATAAAATTTTATTGAAACACTGCCATCATCTACTTACTTAGGCATATATAGAATATTTTCACACTAGAAAGTAAAATTTGAGTAGTTGTAACCCAGACCATTTGGTCCACAATCAAAAATGATTATCTGGTTCTTTATAAAAGATTGTTGAACCTTGGTTTTAAAAATAGTTTTTGAATTGTAGTATCCAGAATAGCAGCAGTTGCATCATCTGGGGACTCAATAGAAATGCATATTCTAGGGTTGCAACCCATAACTACTGAATGAAAAACTCTTAAGAGCAGGGCTTCATAATCTGTGGAAGAAGTCCTATGGCAGATCATGATGCAAACTCAAATTTAAAAACTACTAGCCTAAGCAAAGTGATTCTAATGTAAGGAACATACATGAAGTTACCTACTATGTAATGAAAAAGGTAAGTAGTCTGTTGCTTGTGTTATAAATTTTCAATGGAAATGAAAAATCTGTACAATTTTATTCTCTTCAGAGATATCATCATCCCTTGATAGTGTTGTTAGTATTATGAGTAGTATTTCTTGTCCTTTCATAGAGCATATTAATTCCTGAAGGAAAAAGCCACCATCTTTTTTGTAATAGAAGTAGCAAATCATGGTAGTTGAGACTATTACCTTTGCAGACACACAAAAGTATTTATTCACTAGTGTGACACTTAATATAACCATCTCTGGACCCTGAATATTATGTTTTTAAATCTAAGACTTTTAAATCAGTTCACTCATCTAAAAAAATGAGCATAAAGATGGAGACTACCTTATAGAATTGTTTTGAGAATTAATAAATTCTACCTTATAGGTTTGTTTTGAGATAGTTGTGTTAAGTACTGGATACAGAACCTGGGACATAACAAGTTTTATTTTTTTTCCTTCTCTGTCTCTCTTTGCTTGTTATTATTATCTTTCATCAAACTAATCTTTCCATTAAGGATCATAGGGCATGATTTTGATAGAGAAATATAAATCCACAAAAAATTATCACCCTATTTATTTTTTAAAAAGTATGACAAGGTACAGGCTGTAAACAAATGCCATAAATCCAGCTTTCTTGCAGCTGTGTTAGATTGTAATCAATATTTGGTGGTAATTTATCTAACACACGATGGAGTTATTGCCCTGTGATTCTACAGATTCAATGTAGGATTTTGCACAAGGCTTTTAGTTTAACTCCCAAGAAAAACCACTGCCTTGGAAAATCATAGAGTCAATCATAGAGTCAAATGGCAGTGACTTCCTTTTGCTAAGAATCTAAAGAGTTTGTGGAACTGTGATCAGTTTATAGGATTCCAGAGATTGAAGGGAGCCCTTTCTCATTTAGAGATGTTTCATGCAGGAAGGTTTTTCTAAAGAGCATAGTTCATCCTGTTTTCTTTTTATTTTGTACCCTTTCACAATATTTTTAATCTTAAAATAAATATTTTATTTCTTAAGATTAGCTATATCAACAGCAAATATAGCTCTTAGATGTTTATTTAATGTTAATTTCATCCAGTTATGGTGTATCTGGCATAGCCAAGTAAACTTCCAGTAAAAATAGATCAATTCTTGTGAAAAAAAAAAACAACCCTGAATTTTAAGCATGCTTGAGTTATTTCCTATTAAAAACAAAATAAAAAAAATTTTCCCTCAACCTTATTCAGCTAAAGTCATACATTATTGTTCTATTCCCAGGCAAATCTCCCAAAAGAGCTGTCTATACACGCTCCATTTACTTAGTTCCCACTCATTCCATCAAAAAGGTCCAATCTGGCTCCTATTCTGTCATTCTACTGAAACAGCTTTCATTCAGATCACCAATAATCTCTTTATGTTGCTGTAATTGTTTTCTATTATTATGTAACAAATTACATTAAGCTTTAGTGGATTAAAAAAAAACAACAATATTTATGATCCCACAGTTTCTGTGGGTTAGGAGTCCAAGCACAGATCTCTGCTTCAGGATCTTACTAGGTTGGAGTCTCATCAGAAGCTCAGTTGGGAAAGAATCCATTTCTAATTGCACTCAAGCTGTTAGCAGAATGTGTTTCTTGGTAGTTGGATGACTAACTCTCCCCTCCTTATGCTGTAAGGTTGCTGTAAGTTCTAGAGACCTTGCATAGTTCCTTGTTGATGGACATTTTAAATATGGCTGCTTTCTCTCTTTTCCCCTCCTCCCTCCTTTCTTCCTTCCTTCTCTCTCTCTCTCTCTCTCTCTCTCTCTCTCTCTCTCTCTGTTCTTGGGAAGAAAGTCTTGACCTTCTTTTAAGTGCTTTTACCTGATTCATCCAGAAACACTCAAGATAACCTCAATTCTGATGAATTAAAAATCAACTGATTTGGGACCACAGTTACACCATTGCCTTTACCATATCGCCATTTCTATTGGCTAGTAAAAAGTCACAGTTCCTGTCTACATACAAGGAGCAGGGATTCTACATGGCTAAACCAGGGTGGAATTATGATCATGAGGCCATCTTGGCATTCTGCTTACCATTTTCTGAATTCTTCAAGCAGGAATTATACTTTTGATATGTTCCTCCTTAAAACTGACATGGTGTGAATGTTTCTACCCCTCCAAAATACATATGTTGAGGCCTAATTACCAAAGTGATGTTATTTATTAGGAGTGGGACTTGGAGACATAAGTAGATAATTAGGGCAGCCCCTTCATGAGTAAAATTGGCATCCTTACAAAAGCAGCCCCAGAGAGCTTCCTCCTACGTTCCACCATTTGCATAAACACCTACAGGTCACCACCTATGAACCATAAATTGGCCTTTACCAAGACACCAAATCAGACACAACCTTGATCTTGGACTTTCCAGCTTTTAGAACTGTGAAAAATAAATTTTCATTGTCTGTAAGTTACTTGGTTCATAGTGTTTTGTCATAGCACCCTGAATAAACTGAGATAGAGCTCTAAGGCCTTGGCTACCATAACACAGTGCTCTCCTAGATTTCCTCTGATCTCTCTGGTGACTCTTTTCCATACTCAACCTATTCTTTTCAATTATTACATATTAGAATTTCTAAAGGCAAGCTGAAGTTTTCTTCTTTCCAAATATACTGCCTCCACGACAATCTCATAACACATGTCAGTTCTTCCTGTAATTAGAGGACTCACAGATTGATCTCTCCATCCTAGACCTCTCTCTATTCAGCCAGATGTGTACTTAACACATCCTCTTGGACATTCCAGAGTGACTCTAATTGAACAAATCCTAAAACAAATCCATAATATCATCCTTAAAACCCTAAGTTCTTCCAGTATTTTTTGTATAAATGTCAGGTGCTAGGTTTAGGTGCTAATCACCTAGGTTTAAAGTACATAAATCTAGGAATCATCTTTCATCCTCATCTTCTCATTTTTCCTCTTCACTCTAATTTCAAGGCCTCTCAGTTTTACCTTCTCAGTCCACTTTAAATCCTTTCACAAATGAACTCTGCAAAGATTCTAAGGTTCTACCAAGTATTCTCATAAGAAACATTCCTAAATACAGTTATGGTAGATTTTCATTTTAAAATGGCCCCCATGGCTTTCCATTTGTCACTCAACAAGACAAAAGCTTTTCTGCAATT